CCCACATCCTAAACTGTACAAGACAAGTAAATCATAACTTGGAAAAAAAAAAAAAGGTTGTTCTTAAAAAAAAATATTTAGTGTTTTAAATTTTGACTCTTTACAGTAAAAAGTTTGTGTCTTTCATCTACAGCAGGAAATACCTACCTGCAAGAGTCGTTTCACATGCAGTACTCAGGGAATGCTGTGCAGACTTTTAGAAATACACATCTTAGCTTTCAGTTGGTTGGTTTTGTATGTTTACAGAATGTATCATCTGCCCTGATGTGAGTCTTGTTCTTGCTTTAGCTCAGTGTTTGACTATGAGAATGCAGTCAGTCAATCTGCTAATGGGGAACTCAACACAGGGGTTTTGCCATTTGATTCAACTCCAAAGGATTAGATCCAGGACTTGCCCAATTCCTAGTTTAAAGCTTTTTTTTTTTTTTTTTAATGAAGAGATTAACAGTTTTGTGTGATAAGTGTAAGGAAACAAGGCTTAACTTGAAAACAACAAGCTGCAATTGATAGTAATAACACTCTTAACAGGATCTCATTCACAGCGAGTATATAACCTGTCTTCGAGTGACTGTCCAGAGATCAGTACCTTCCTTCTCCACCCCAAGCTCCATTGGGAGTCACAACTACCTCTCGAATGGAATCTGCTTCAGTGTTATAAACCATCAGCTTCAGCGGCTTCCCCTCATGGGATTCAATCAGGGAAAAGAAATCCTCTGACTAAGAAGAAAAAAAGAAAATAGTAATTAATAAACTCACCTGTGCAAGACAAGGAACTAAAAGCAAGTCAGCATTTTACATAGTTATTTACTTCAACATGAGACATTAAAAACCCAGAGCCAGAAAACTCGCTAGTGTGGTTTGATCTTTAATGGCAACTTCTTGTTATTGTCACATTAAAAAGACAGATAATGTTTACCTCAACAATAAAGCATCTGTCATAAACACCAACTTCCCCAAATCCCCAAACACCATCCCCATACGTTTGATGCACACGGAAGTAGATTTATGAAAAAACAAATCCTACAACATACACTTGGCAAAGACAATGAATCCCTACCAGAATGCACCCTACCTCCTGGAGAATCTGATCAGATCCAACAACGTAGTCAGTGTAGGGCTGGAGACCAGCCAGAGCTGCAGGAGATGCAGGTTCAACATCCTGGGAAAGAATGATTGTTGTCATCTGCATGGGCAGGAGGATAAACCACCCCGAGATCAAAAAGGAAAGTTAACCCCAAAAACAGCAGAAGGAAAGAACATTTTGTTTATGGGATAAAACAGAAGTCCTTGAACAGTCTACATCTAGGTGTGACAACTTGGAAAACATGCTGAATAAGAAAGACCAAGCTGGTACCAATTTAAAATAAGATACTCCAAAGTCGTGGAGAAGTTGCATTTATTTAAACAACCAGAAACATAACAAGCAGTCTTTCCTTTTCAGTTCTACCTCTTAATTTTAAAATAAGTTTGTAGTGCTTTTTGCAACATTAATTTAATGAAGTTTAGCCAACACAGAAACACCAATCAGGCCATAACATTTTTGCTTTTGGCATTGATTCTTCAACAAAAAAAACCCTTCCCATCTGGACTATTGGGTCTGGCTGGGATGGAGTTATTTTTGTCAGTGACAGGCAACACTGACAGCCACCTACTCCTTGTCCCTACTGAAATAGCTCAAACCTTCAAGACTCTGCTCCCTTCCTCTGCATGATTTCAGCACTGCACTTTACATAAAAGTTACTTCTAAATATTACACTCTAAAACAAGGTTGTATGGACACTGACAAGCCACCAAAGAATTCTGTCTCACCAAAACATGCCACACGTGTTCATTGGCTCCCTGGAAGCTGCAGAACCTCACGCTGGCTCCAAGGAGGCCTTGTCCTCCCCACATGTTACTGGGGATCACCTCCACCTCTCTTATTTTCATTGTTTTGATATTATACACCTCCAGCTTCACTGCTTTCTCAGCATTTGCCTTCAGCAGGTCTTTCAACATATTGTTTTCCTTATTCTGTAGAGCACAGAAAGAGATACAGGATTAACATTATTTCCAGCTGCACCTGTAATATATGTCACATCTCAGGCAGAATTTTAATGCAAAGAACCAAACCCATCAAGGTTTGGGCTCTGTGGTTCACAAACAGTCCCAGCAGTTCAGTTTCTTTTATTAGAAAGCGGTCAGTACTGTCAGCACGTGTCCCTTTACATGAGTAATTGCTGTTACTTCATTTCATCACTGGCATGAAATGCTTCACGACTGCTATTAAGTAACACCAGCAACAGGAGATGTCAACTGTGTAGTCTAACAATGAGCAGCAACATTTCACTTCACCCCTCTGAGCCCTTCTCAGTCACTGCAAACTGACTGTGAAAGGACAGACTATTTGGGAACAGATGACAGAACCATCATTACATCTGTCATGTTAATAAGGTGAAAGGATCTTCCACCACAATCACCATTAAAACAAGCGCTTCCAAAAAGACATCTCCGCTCATAAAAGAAACCCAACCAAGCTCCAAAAAACCCACCAAACCAGAACTCGGCTCTTCTCTCACAACTCAGCCTATTGTGTTCTTGGTCTCAAAAGTATAAGTAGACAGGCTACGATCCTTTTTCAGGTTTTATCAAATGTTGAAACAAGTTTGTTTAAACAAATGTTGAGCTCTTACTACTGACTCACCAGTTCAATATTCACCTTGTGGCAAAAAATACGTAGGAATGAGTAATAACATAAACATTGTGTCAACCTGTTAAGAAGTTAAGGTGAGTAAAGGCATAAATAAGAACCTTTCCTCAATGTTGGATCCAGCCAGAGAAGAGACTTCGAATACCAGCAAATTTTACTTTATTTTTAATGCCACATACAATGTGAAAAGCTTTCTTTACTGTGACAGTTTTGGCTTCTACTTTTTAATCAACACAAGACCTAAGTTCATGCAGAGGAGAAAAAAAATGGCATTAAAGTCATTTGAGACTCACAAGCCTCGTGTGTCCAATGGCAATGATGAAATCAAAGAAAGGTTCCAGTCCTCCTTGTTGAGCTGGGGAGTTTTCTTGAACCTGAAAAACATACATTTTATTATTATTAAACACTGATCTCTAGTTACGTAAGTAAAAGTGTTTATCTTTACACAATTCCCTATTTACTCTTGAGCTGAACCGGAGATAAGATACCAAATGACAGATTTCGGGAAGCAATCCACAACTGTGAACTAAGTTTTATAAAACTATGAGCAACAGGCATTCAAATTAAGCTGTAAAAAGCAGGTGTTGAACCCCATAGAAAACAAATATTGTTATTCAGAGATCACAGCCTGGAATTTAAATATTGAATACTTTGGAGAAAGGTTTAATTCCCAAAGTGCTGCTTCAGGATTTCTTCCATGCTTCTCACAGCCTGAGCACATCGAGATCCCCCTTTTTCCATAAATGAAATTTACCCTTGGGTTCCCACAGTTTCCAGCCCACTGGAATGGGAACACTTAGATGAGCACACTACAAACAATGCCTCACCACAGGTATTGGTGTTGATATTGGGGTTTTTGAAGGCAGAAGTGTCTGCAAGTTATAAAATACATCAATAAAATAGTTTTATATTTTATATATATTTTTATATATTTACATATATTTTTATAGTTATAAAAGAATAGCATAGTTACTTCAGCAAAAGCTTTTAAAGCAAAACTGAGAAGAAAAATCGTGCTTTATTATTAAACAGTCAAGACTGAGCCCTGTAACCACAATTGGAGTAGGAAGTATTAACTTGGATCACAACCCTAAACTGCAAACAGGCAGCTTTATACTGAATCCGAGGTTAAAAATGTTTACATAAAAATTCTAAACAATGTTCAAGAAGCCTTAGAATGAAACCATCATGTTACATAATGTCCAGGATGAAAATGTATGCGAAAAGAATCACATGAAAGCTACTACAGAGCTCAGGACATGGGTGTTTGGGTGTCTAAGAGTCACACAGGTTCCCACAGGGAGCTGTGAGCTGCAAAAAAATCCTGCTGCACTTGGATTTCAAAATGACCTGGTATCAAGAGCTGCATGAATTCCCTGAAGAAAAGGAAAATTAGTTTGTCTTCTGCAGACCGCTGGTCACCAAAATCATCCTCCAGCACAGAAAACCGAGCAGTGTCCTGCGCTCAGCACAGAAGGAGGACCGACATTCATCGCTGACGGAGCGGCCTCAGTTCAGGAGACTGACACGAGCACAGCACCCCAAACACACCTCGTGACACTCAGAAACATAAACTGGGATGATGTGTAAAGCAGCACGTGGCAACAACACTTCCACTCCGGTTCCAGCGAGGGAGAGCACCCACTAAACGAAACGATGACTCCTTCAACAGCTGTTAATCAGCAACACCTCTGTCTGTCCTGAAGCGCGGGGATTCGGATTTACACCACTGTGTGTGCGGACAGTGCTGGATATACAGGAGTAAAAACAGACTCCCAAATACGTCCAGCGCCTGGGGGAGGCTGGAGCAGGACGAGATGCTGTGAAGATCCACAGGGAAGGAGAGCAGCAAGGAGAGAGGGGAGAAGGGAAAGGAGGGGAACGGGAGAGGAGGAAGCAGGGAGAAAGAGGAGCAGAGAGAGAGAAGAGCAAGGACAGAGAGAGGGCTATACTGCTCTGAAAACCCCTCCGAGTTCCCCCAGAGCAGCCCCGCAGGCTCCCCCGGGCTGTCCCGCACCAGGACCCGGCGGGTCGCGGCACTCGCGGGCACCGAGAGCGGTGCGGCCGCCCCGGCCCTGCCAGCGTGGCAGCTCCCAGGAAGGGGTGGACAGGCGGGAGCCGCGGGGCCTCAGCACTCTCAGGCTGGGGGGGCCGAACGGGAACCCTCCCACCCACACCCGCCCCAGCGCCCACCGCCCCCTCGCGGCCCTCCCGCCCTCCATCCCTCCAGACCGGCGGCGGCCGCCTCACCCCGTGCACGTGGAAGCCCTCGGTGCCGCCGCCGGGGCCCTCGGAGCTGGAGCCCAAGCCCATGGCCGCGGCACGGCGGGACCCGCCGGGCCCGCTCACACCATCAGGCGGCGGCGGCGGCGGCGGCGGGTCCGAGCACCGCCCTGGCGCCGCTCCCGCAGGCCCGAGCAAGCGAGCGCCGAGCGCAGCGCCGGCGGACGGCGGGGCGAGGGAGGAGCGCAGCTCCGCTCCGCGCCCTGGCGCGCGACGGCGGGGAACGCCCCCTAGCGACGGGGGCGGGGCAGGGTGAGCGAGGCGTTGCCGTGAGGGGCGGGGCCAAGGCTGAGGGGGCGGGGCCATCGTGAGGGGAGGTGGGGAGCGGCCGAACCGTGGAATTAAAAAACAAAACAAACAAACAAAATCACAAAAATCACAGGCTCACAAGATTTTTATTTTTAGGGTGGAAAAGAGCTCTGAGGTCAGCGAGTCCAACCTCAGACCGAACGCCACCGTGTCAACCAGACCGTGGCACTCGGTGCCACGTCCTGTTCTTTCCTTAAGCACCTCCAGGGGCGGTGACTCCGCCACCTCCCTGAGCAGCCCATCGCAATATCTAATCGCCCTTTCTGGGGAGAAGTTCTTCCAAAATGCCCAACCTAAACATCCCCTGCCACAGCTTAAGACCATGAAAAAAAAAAACAAAAAAAACCAAAAAAAAACCCCAAACAATCCACACAAACCCAAACCAGTTCACAACTGTTCTCCTTCTCACAGCCTTTAAAATTCGTACCCCTGCTCGTATAACGCACACAGAGATTATTGTTCCTATTTTACCGATAGCTACTTCACAAACACATTTCTAAAGAGCACGTGTATCTGGTATTGTGCTCGAAAATGGTGTTTCCACCAGCTGAGATGATTTTTAGCATTAGGAGGTGAAGAAGCAAATCAATGGCCCGGTGTTGTTTTTCAAGGCACAGGGGATGGAGGGTGATCACTAAGTGGTAACGTTTCAACACCCCAGAAATTTCATGCCTGTGTTTTACTTGGGATGAATTCTTTTGATTCTGCCCCCAGCTCGCTAATGGAAAAGTTCTGAGAGTTTTCTAAGTAGCAGGTAATAATTTGAAGCGTTATTGTATTATTGTAGATAAAGTGCCAGTTGTATTTCCTGCATGGGTGCTTTCATTTCAAGTATAAAAGCATCCGTTTCGGTAAAACTCCTTGGTAGCACTGCTCCCACTTCCAAAATGTCATTTTTCCAAAGGATCCATCCACATGATTTCTGTGGTTCAAGTGTGATGCATAAAGACATAAGAGAAAAAGAGCTGCTTCTCCATCCTCTGCCTTTGCTTCCAAGTGAAACTCTTAATTTCCCTGTTGCTTCAGTGGCTAATTATGCATGAAAGCCACACACACTGGCTCATTTTTCTCCAAAGAAAGATCTGGATATTCTCAGGAGCCTCTTTAAGTAACTTTTTCTTGGAGTTGTCTCTAAGCTGTGACTGCAGATCTGTGCATCACATTTATTGAGCAGATGGCACAAGTGCATGTAAGCATTCAGAAAAAAAATAAAATTGTACCAAACGTTCTTCTGTGTTTTTTTTTTTTTTTACTGGGTATATTTGAGAACCTTACCACATAGTTGTATTTTTTCTTAAATTGCTTTTCTCCACAGCATTTTTTATAACAGGTGAGCCAATGAAGAACTGTAGTGTGGGCGGTGTAATTGTCTTTTTACAAATAGAAATGAGAAATGTTTCTTCAGACATACCAAAACTAGATGCCAGAGAAGAGAGTCTGATCCCAGTATAAAATTAGCTCTTTGGAAATATAAGATCATAGCAAAAAAAAAAAAAAAAAAAAAAAAAAAAAAAAAAAAAAAAAAAAAAAAAAAAAAAAAAAAGATCTGAAGAGGAGGTCTGTAAGCCTCAACAAAGTAATAGAAACTATAATAAATAATATTTTTTTTCTGGATGTCTGAGTATTACATTCTTGGTAAGTGCTCATGTGGCTCTGATAAAGGGACATCCCACTTCTATTGCAATTCCTAAAGGTGGTAAGAAAAACATAGAAAGAAGTGATATTGTTGCTTAGATTTAAAAACAAACAAACAAACAAACAAAAAAACTTTATCAAGGTTTTTTAAGGAAACTAAGCAGCAATACTGTAAGATATAATATATTCATTTCAATGAGTGGTTAAAAGAGAAAAAGAAACAGATGATTAGAAGCAAATGAACACTGAATGGAAAGATCATCCAAAGAGTGATTGAAAAAACCCAGACATTACTTTTCTTCATGTTCTAAAAGCCCTGGAAAGAAAGATAAGAGGTGAGATGACAAAAGGTGTAAAAATATAGATAAGGTAATGGGGTTTTCTCCACCTGTGCTTTTACATTTTACTTGTCAAAAGTTCCAACAGTCTGAAATTTGGCATTGCATTAGCCCAGTGTTTCATGCACTTATTGCAGGTTAAATTAGGAGTTCTAGTATGAAAGAAATCTCGGGGTGATTTGATAGATGTGGATGTGTTTTAAGTTTAATTTACTAAATAGACTAGTACCAAAAATAGTGTTGCTGTCGGTAAAACTACTGAAAAAATCTGATCTGCTCTGGACTATTTTTTTGCCTCAGTTTTGTTTATTTAGAAAAATACTTTAGTTCCTGTTTATTCAGCACTTGAGCAATGCTTCCATATTAAATTTGTCAGCTTACCCGAAGCTCAGAGACTTTAGTAAATTATTAAAGAGCAGCATTGCATAGCAGAATCTGTAGTGACACATTGTGTATTCTCATGAAGACAAATCAAGTTTTGTTTTCATGTAGCTCCCTTGAAGAGGATTCTGTGCTACACTATAGATTTACTTTGAGTAGTTGTGTGGGTGTTTCTAGAACAGCAGCACAAGAGTATTTTAGGCTGTAGAGGAAAACACTGACTTTTTGGCGGAGAGGCACTGGAACATACACACAGATCTATAAGATCACAAATATGTCCGCTTTATTGCGATGGTCCAGGGTTTTTATAACATCTCTACTCAAGGTCCCGTGACAAGAAGCATACAATTGGACACCGGCTACCATCCAGCTGAAAACATCCATTACAA